TGTTCCCCCGCTCACCGCCTGGATCGGAATACTTTACATCGATGCTATTAATAACTTGGCTTTCCCACGAGTTGTTGCGACGACCCAATGATACGCACTACTGCAACTGAAACGTCGAGGTGCGTACCTCCATCCAGCGCAAGCATAAGAGGACAATGCAACATAGGAAAGAAGAAGCAAGAAAAAAAATCTCTTCATCTGCCAACATCTAGAAAGACAGCATCGGTCTCTCCAAACCCCGTACATATGAGATGTCAGGTCGTTTATCGATCAACTAGAACTGTCAAATCTCGCAGCATAGGTTATCTTCCGACCGATCTATTTGTGTTTCAACCGTGGACCTGGACCCTGTGCCTGAACCCCGTGTGTAACACGGTAACCTGAGCTTGCTGAGTAATTCCCCTGTAGTACTCCGTCAGGCGCGTGGAAATTTCGATCCTGTCGCATGTCAGATTGCAGATAACTTGCCTCAATGGGATACAGAAACGGCAGAGAGTTGGGTCATTGCTCATGCGTGGTTTTACCTTGGAACCGTGTTAATAACTGTTGATCTGGAAGATCAACGGAATAGGACAGCGGATCGTACTCGTATGTCTCTTGTTTGATTGACATAAGTGTTAGTGCGTGCGGTAGGGCGCCCCAGAGGGCGTTCCCGGAATGCCACTAACAGCAAGCCTGCCGTCGAGGGCTTAACTATGGGCTGCTTCTTTTTAATCTACTATTAGATAGTTTGGCGAGGGGGTAAATCTGGTCTGTCTGCACAGCCGCCTCCTTGCCCAATCTTCCAGAAACCAAATCAATCTAGTACCTACCACCTCTTTCCGATTTAATCAACTACAAACCAATCCTTCTTCTCTTGCAGGAAGAAACAAAATATTTCATGCTATTCCAGGTCTCATCCTTCCCTTATTACACAGGATATATACCTGCTACCACATGTCTCGGACGACCTTCCCACTTCCCAGACACACGGACATCGTAGTTAAAATTCCTAAGATGCCACCGCATCCCGCATCCCTGATCAACCACCCCCAAGCGAAAAAAGGCAGATCATCAGACTTTTGCCCGTCCGTGACTTGCGCATCATGACGTCCGGACCCCATTGATCAACTGCTCCTCTCCTCTCCTCCCCAGCCCCGTGCATTTCCCTCCCTCCTTCCATCATACCCTGTGGGCGGAGAAAAAAGGATTCCACGACAATGCAATTCTCCATGCTTTTTCCGTTCTTCCTTGAGCGATCAAAGGGAAGCAAAGCAACACCGTAGTATCGGATCATCCATCCATACATCCACAGGGTCCTAACCCGCTGACGCCGCCTCAACCTTGGGTCTGGCGGAAAGGCTCGTCCTATTTTTGGTGCTCCTGGCCCTAAGTTACTTACGAGTGCAGAACCACGGATTGCGTGTCTCTCGGCTACGCCACTCTTCCTGGTTTTCTGGTTCCTTGCTAGGGCCTGGGCCATGAGTTGTTAACCGTGGTGTCTAGTGATTGTTTCATGATTTGGTTTTTCTCGAGTTTAGGCTGGGTTTCTTGAGGGTATAAGATTGTTTGTGAATGGTGGTTCATAATTAGGTAATTGTCATGTTTATGCTTGTTGGACAATGTCATATTTATGGTGTGGCTACTGTTTGTCGGACTAGAGATGCATTTTGGAGGAACAGTTCGCCAAGTAGACGAATGCTAAACCATGAGGTACAAAGTGACTTATTCAATACTACCTAATTATACTTGCATTTAACCATTTCGTATATTTCCGTCGTTCCAGTAGTATCGCTACTTAATATTGCGATCGCATGTCTTCCTAGGATCCTACAACGGCACTCATGATGGTTGTTATATATGAGTGAACATGATATTTCTACCAGCCTGTTTTGTTCGCCTGGTTTCTCCAAATTCCATCATGATCCTAGTCGAATACTAGTAAGTACTCGATGGCCTACTAACAAATATAGATTAGAGTCAGCCAAGATCTAGTAGTAGTATTCCTCCATCACTAGCGAAATTCTCGACAAACTAACTTCATGAAGTATACCATGACACTATCACTCCTCGATCATTTATCCCACCACCCTACTTAGTACTATTATTTTCTCATACTAAGCAAACTTCCCCCTCACATATCTATAACGCAACCCCCGGTAGCCCCAGAAACCCACTTGACCAGACCTCATCGGCTAAGTATTTCTCAATCTCACCAATGCCTTGTATACAGCAGTTACTAGTTAGAGTATACACGGCATTTAGCTACTACCTCAGAACCCAGTGATTATTTGCCAGTCTATATCCCTATATTTTCTGCCCTACATTACATGTCAATACAATCGATAACTTACCTACGCATTCTTTGCAGTCGACTGCCTGTGGTATCCATACCAATTCATCGGACAAGACATTGATGACGTGTCTTTATATAGAGTCTACATCAACTTACGTATTAGCCGTCCCCAACAGGCCCGCTTATGCTCAGAAGCACATACACAAAAGACATACGGTAGTACTTAGACTACTTCGTCTTGCCCGTGCGGTTTGTGACGCAGTGCTGTTATCCGTTTCTTTTGTGTACACCGTGCTTTCATTCCTTGGTGGATACTAACTCTGAATTCTGTGCAGTGTGCACAGTAAGTAGTGTTGGGCTGATCTCCGCGGAGTCGGAGGGGCTAGTTTCCTGTCACTACATAGTATGATGTCTAGTCTTACACAGCGAATATGGCTTCCTACCACATAAACTAGAAGCGAAGCTTTGTTTCCAGATGCCTGTTGACTAGAGTCGAGTCTATCTAAGTATAGATACATCTGAAACGTCGGACCAGTCTTCTCCAAACATTAAACCGTGTGAGCTAGACTAGTTTGATGTTCTACGTTCGCTTGCTTACAAAGGTGCATCCCTGGCAGGGAGCCGAGCTAAGCCACTCTCAGGGGTAGATTTGGATATCTCAGATGTTGGTTTTAACGAGCGGGTTGACCGAAAGCAACTCGGACACCATGTCTGTGTGAGAGAGAAGGAACAGAAAAGGGGCAACGAGCCTCACAGTCATGACTAGCGCTTCATGGAATCCAACCCCGGCAAACTGTGTTGGATTTGGGGCTACGCAGCCCGTGTCTGATAGCTGAGTTCGTTCGAGGATGATCGTAAGCACTGTAGCAGGATGGGGAGCTTCTAGTGTAGGGTGCTATGTTCGTAGTATTAGTATCTATTTATGTGAGGTGGTAGGCCTGTATTGATTGTGTTGTTCTAGAAACACAGAGTATGCTGCCTCGGCTTAGGGTAACCTGTACTCCTCTAGTCATGTAGCATGTATTTGAATAGATACTGGAGGCTGTATAGTATGGAAATGTACCTTCTGCCTTTTACAGACGATAATTGTGAACCGCGCATGAAACAATGACATGAAGCTCCAAGGCCGAGCTATTCGGGTTTCGGGTCTCGGAATTTCGGGCGAAATTTCCCTATTTTGTCTAAGAGATCAAGATCCACCCAAAAAATTAGAAATAACTATTGTAAATCATTCAATAGTATTATCAAGGTCCTAAATGGTCACATTTAGTCCGACATATCGATGGAGAGAACGTTAACGTTCTGAGTGCCGGGTTCGCCAGTATTCCTCCGAGATAGTCCATCGAGGTTTCGACTGGTTCTGTCCTAAATAGGGATAAAGGAGATCGTTAAGTGTGTATACCTGTAAGTGTAAATATAAGATGCCAATGTTGCTTTTGCGTTCTGAGTTTCTTACTACTAAGTAGTAAGATATATAATGGCGCGTGCAAAAAAGATGTCTCATTGGCAAATAGTAAAGACGTTGAGAGGATATTGTTCTTCGGGGATAGCAATGGCACATAGTATGGGGAAGTATCACCCGATGGACAAGTAATTAGCACGACAATTATCTGATTGAAAGTCTTGAAGTCGCTTCATATTCTCTTGAAGTTGCACAATATGCTTCGTATGTACGAAGAGCAACCAGGTAGTATACGCCGTAATTGTCGGTGACGGCGGAAAGACCATGATTGTGCGTGGTCTTGAGATACAAAAGCGTGTAAATATTCTAGGCAGACTAAACCCAGTTTCGTTGTAATACCAACAGACCATAGCAGACCAAATGTAGCTCTATATAAAGAATCAGGCTAATGGCGGGCCGGATGGAGGAGGGTACGATAGACTGCTCCGTTTATAATGACCGGCTACGATCTCTTTGTTGTAGATTCGAACTACGTAGAGACTAATAGACCTGTGGTAGGGTTTTCTATCTTTGACGATAAAGAATAAGATAATTTATGACCGTGGGTATGTTTGTGTGCTGTGTTAGCCGACCACCCGAGCTATAAAGGAGATATATAGGGACAGGAGGTACAACGAGGCAGAAGCGCTGTTGTTGCAAGCCTTGAAGATAAGGAAACAAGTGCCGGAGCCAGAGCATCCCGTCACTTTAAGAAAGCATGAGCCACACCGCATTAACATCCCGACACCAAGGACGATGGAAAAAAGCAGAAGAGCTACAGATACAGCTCATAACGAGTACTTAAGCCCGAGGATTCCGACACTCTGACGAGTATAGAAAACCTAACAGCAAGCTACCGGTTCTAGGAAGAGTGGAAGGAACGGGAGAGTCTGCAGGCAGAGACATCAGATCTACGCTACAAGATGATAGGTAATCTGACGCGCATCGGCACCTTTGAATCAACTTCTAGGACCAAACACGATAGCAGGAAGTTGAAAGGGTAGAGTTGGAGGTGACTGCGTTATGGATAAGGCAGGTGTTCCGCTTCTCTGGTCATGGCCGATGCTGCAGTGCTCGACTCCTTGGTCGTTTGATCACTTTTCCACCATGTATATCGACAAACGACCGTGGTGCTGTCCCCCTATTGCCTATATCACCTTATGGCTTCAAATGATGTTGGAGAGGCTTCCCAATTTGAACGCAATTGGAGACAAGAGGTGAGATACGTATTGATTTATGTTCCCTGGGTTGTCAATAAGCGTATCTTGCTGCATTCGTTCTGGTCTAACTCGACCGAAGCAAATGGGCAAATTTTGACTGCAAGTGTGTTTCTAGCATGCGCTTATGTCCGTCAGACACCTGTTTTCCTTGGTTCTCCTGGACCAATCGATTAATACACTCGTCTAGGCTGATCTCTTCCTCGTCATCGGTCGGCTCTTCTTTCGCAGCCGCAGCCGCAGCCCAGAGACTGTCCAGTTCATCCGACCAGCCTAGCAGATCGGCTAACTTTTCCAACCCATCATCACACGATCCAAGGATTTGAACATCCTCTGGTCGTGTACCAAAGTCCCCCGCACTCTCCATGTTGATGAGGATCCGTGGAACTCCCTCCCTCGCCAAACGCGGTAGCCGCGAGCACGGCGCAACCTTCAAGCTTGTGCCCATAACAATCACCAGATCCGCCTCGGCTACCAATTTCTCTTTTTCATCAAATGCAGCGGGAAGCGACTGGCCGAAGAAGACCACATCCGGCTTCACCGCTCCCTTGCACCTCGCCTCAAGACAGTACGGTACTTCTCTTTTGGCGATGGCCTTCTTCATCAGCTCGTCCGGGTACGGCGTGTTGCATTTGTGACAACGCTGCGTCTTCCAGTTCCCATGCACCGCAAGCATCTTGTCTGCGGGGACGAAGGCATCTTCTTCGAGACCGTCGGTGTTCTGGGTAAACAGGAAATGGAGCAGGCCTTTCTTCGCGAGCAGACCGAGGAATGCGTGGGATCTGGTCGGTTTGAGGCAGCGGGGATGGCGAGCCTTTGCGATGGCGTAGAATTGCTCCGGAGTATGGGTGAAATAGCTGATATGGAAAATCGCCTCGGGAAAGGGCAGCTTGAGGGGTGCCAGTTTCTCGTAGAGACCACTGGTGGGGGAGCGGAAGTCGGGGATTCCGGCGGCGGTGGAGATGCCCGCGCCTGTCAGGATGACGATTCGTTTCGCCTTGGCAAGGTGTTGGGCGGCTATCTCGATTTCAGACGAAGTACTGGTCATCTTGTGATATGGATGCTGTCGAAGAGGATCTGGTCGAGATAGGACGTTGCTATGAGCATGTCTTGTCATGTGATGTCAGCATAAACACGTCGGCAGATCAGGCTTGTCTCGATGACTTGCATCAGAAGCACAACTGTATATTGTTGCTGACCTAAAGCATTCCTATGGATGGGTCCGATGGTTGACCTGTACTTCTCAAATTGGTCTCTTTGTTTTATACCCGCGCTACAGTCAGTGGCCCCGGAATGAATATCTTCCAAGGACAAGCATCCGCAATGAAGAGTCCCAATCCGAGACGTCCCATTGGTCAAGCTCAGTATAGTCGACCCTACTATGCGGAAGGGGGTGGCGAAGTGCAGGACACGGAGAGACTGGCCCAATGGGGAACAATAGCTTAGGTTAGTCTGAGTCGACACGGCGTCAAAGAATAATAGGAAAGCAAGAGGAGAGGCAGGCGGGCGAGGAGACTATCTATACTGTATAGACGCTTTCCCCGATCAGGCACGCTATACCGGATGCAGTATTTAGCCGTCACCGTATAATACGGAGTATGGTAGCATATCTATGTCTGTTACCGCCTCAGGCACCACCGCACGGACTTGCCACAACCAATTATCGCCCCTTATCAACACGTGACGCGGACTTTGGCAGAATCGGACCAAAAAAAAAGAGGAAAGAAAAAAAAGGGCCGTACCAGCTTCACGTTCCAGACTCAACCCCAACGTCGAATTTTTTTGTTCGCAAAGGGAACCTGTCTACGGAAGGTACTCAGTCAAGATGCCGATTCCTGTGGATACCGCGAAATCTATCAACAAGAAGCGCAAGAGAAAGCACGGTGCGCGCGGTGCGACCGAAGCCGACGATGCTTCCCCGAAGCCCGCTGTCGACAATGGAGAGACGACCGAAGTGACGGAGACACCTACGGAAAAGAAGTCGAAGAAGAAGGCTGCTAAGGAGGCCGAGAAGGAAGAAAAGCCCAAGAAGCGCAAGGTTGACGACTCCAGCAACGAGGATGAGAATGACAGCGAGGAAGAAGTCCGTCAGGCGGAACCCGAAGATGAAGATGATGAGGAGGGCAAGGAGGCTGAGACTGGTGCAGACCTTCCTTCTCTGGACGCTGTGCGTCTGCCTCAGACGGATGGCGAGCCGAAGAAATTTACGGAATTGAACCTCTCTGAGAAGACGATGAAGGGTATTCAGGATATGGGCTTCGAGACTATGACCGAGATTCAGCAACGTACTATCCCCCCGCTACTTGCTGGTCGTGATGTTCTCGGTGCTGCGAAGACGGGTTCCGGAAAGACTTTGTCGTTTTTGATTCCCGCTGTGGAGATGTTGAGCGCTCTGCGGTTCAAGCCTCGCAATGGTGGGTTCCTGGCATCTCTACTAGGTGTTCGCTCGATTGAACATGTGCTGATTTTCTACTTCTAGGTACTGGTGTTCTTGTCGTTTCTCCCACCAGAGAGTTGGCGCTGCAAATATTCGGTGTGGCCAGAGAGTTGATGGCGCACCACTCGCAAACATATGGTATCGTCATTGGAGGTGCCAACCGTCGAGCTGAGGCGGAGAAGCTCACCAAGGGTGTCAACTTGCTCATTGCCACTCCTGGACGTTTGCTTGATCATCTGCAGAACACCCCCGGCTTTGTGTTCAAGAACCTGAAGACTCTCGTTATCGGTAAGTGTGGCCTGATTACGAACACAACAGGCGAATGTACGCTAACGTCTGTGCAGACGAGGCGGACCGTATTCTGGAAGTCGGTTTCGAGGACGAAATGCGTCAGATTGTCAAGATTCTGCCCTCCGAAGAGAGACAGACCATGCTGTTCTCTGCCACCCAGACCACGAAAGTCGAGGATTTGGCGCGCATATCGCTGCGCCCTGGCCCCTTGTACATCAACGTGGACCACCGCAAGGAGCACAGCACAGTCGAGGGTCTGGAACAGGGTTATGTCATCTGTGAGGCTGACAAGCGCTTCCTGCTTCTTTTCTCCTTCCTCAAGCGCAACCTTAAGAAGAAGATTATTGTCTTCTTCTCCAGCTGTAACTGTGTGAAGTACCATGCTGAGCTGCTCAACTACATCGACCTGCCGGTGCTTGAACTTCACGGCAAGCAGAAGCAGCAGAAGCGGACCAACACATTCTTCGAGTTCTGCAATGCCAAGCAGGGAACCCTGATCTGCACTGACGTTGCTGCCAGAGGTTTGGATGTGAGTACCTGCCCATTAACAAATCACCCAGAGCACAATCTAACAATCATAGATTCCGGCTGTGGACTGGATTATCCAGTTCGACCCCCCGGATGACACCAGGGATTACGTCCACCGTGTCGGTCGTACGGCTCGTGGTGTCAACGGAAAGGGACGCAGTTTGATGTTCTTGCAGCCTTCCGAGGTTGGTTTCCTGAAGCACCTCAAGGAGGCTCGTGTTCCCGTTGTGGAATTCGACTTCCCGGCCAACAAGATTGTCAACGTTCAATCTCAGCTCGAGAAGTTGATTGGTCAGAACTACTATCTGAACAAGGTGCGTTCCCAGAACTTTATCGACTCCTATCTACGATATCGATCTCATACTGACTTCACCCGCCTAGTCCGCCAAGGAAGGTTACAGAGCCTACCTCCAGGCGTATGCCTCTCACTCGCTCCGGTCCGTCTTCGACGTGCACAAGCTTGACCTGGTCAAGATTGCCAAGGGATTCGGATTCTCGACGCCGCCACGCATCGACATCCAGCTGGGCTCCAGCCTGAGTCGGGATAAGAAGCAGCAGCAGCAGGGACGCCGAAACTACGGCAGCCAACCGAAGGGGCTGAAGTTCAAGCGCAAGCACGAGGATGACTGAACTGACTGACTAATAAGCAAAGAGAAAAGCAAGTGGTTTGTGTGATTTCTTGAGACCTGGCATTTTAGTTTCGGAGTTTACCCTGTGGATATCTGGACTTGTCTATATTATTATTTCCAATCGTTTTCTTGAATAGATCATATCATTCAGAAGCATTTTATCTGTTGTGTCAGATGTACTCAGTATTCCCGTTACCTTTCGTTTTCCTCCATTCGGAAGTTACTCCCTAGAATCGACCCAGAAGCACAGGGCGAGACAGGTGACTGAAGAAGCGTGCTAAGTCTCTTTCTGTGAAACCGAGGTTATGGTCGAGGACTGGTCATTGTAGTTCCCTCGGCTGGATTGCTGATGTACTTGGCAGCTTGGAGTGTCTCACGGGCTAGTATGGATAACTGCAATGCATGTCATTTATGTACAGGCATGATAACAGAATGGAATAAAGTATCTGGTAGGCTGAGCTATGAATAGATACAGAGGGGACTAGATTGTGATGATCGGTGAATCTTATCTACTATTGCTGCTGCAAATGTACATGTTTAGTATAGTACTTTAGAGTGGTCTGTTCTATATCTGGCAAATCTGCAAAACAGAAAAGAAGAAAATTGGCAAGTCCCTTCGACGAGAAATGAATAAAACCCACCGCAATAGATTAATCATGAATTCTTATAGGCTTGAAGTAATTTATTTTTTTCTATGCAGTTTACTAGTTAGTATGGCTGCCTGTTGAAAGCACTCATTTTCTAATGATCAAACAATATGAGCCCAGCCCCGCCACAACCCCATGCATTGAACATCAAGACCAATCGAGTACTTCGATCCGACAAATCCCATCATCAGCTATTTAAGTTTTTATTTTCACATCCGGGCAGACACAAATTTGAAAGGGCAAATAAGAGCACGCTGACCGGGGGAGCATGGACTATCCCAGCAAACTCATCAAACCTACACTTAAATCCGAGGGTGGCTGGTCAAAAAGGTGGCTGGGAAAGACAAAAAAAGGGAAAGAAAGGAAAGGGACGGGACGGGATCCGCCGTCGAACCCAACTTTTCCATCCCATCCCATCCACTACTGGGAAAAAAAGTACGGGCACATCCAACGTTGCAAGTGGCCGTAAGCAACACCTGGTACTGACAGTCACCTGTCCTACTCCAGCAGGATGATCGTTGCAATGGAGAAAAAAAAGATGAAAAGAGGCTACCAATCAGCCGTGAAGGCTGTAGTCAGAATTGACGGAGGGGACGGAGGGGATTGATGAGCTGGCAGCCTTAACCACCAATGATTGCTGGGAGTTGGTCGTCCTGGAGACCGCCTGGTCCTGGTCCTTGACTGCCTCTTTACCTTTCTTGCTTTGCGGCCCATGAGCCAGTCAGTCAATGGGAGAGATGAGAGACTGTCTTGCTGGTTCCGTGTGCGGGTCGGGGGAAAAGGAACACACACACAGGGAGGGGCGTGGGCTCCACCCACTCACGATTCATCCATCTACTGGTGATGAACTTTTTTTCTCGATTCGGACTTTCCTAATCCCAGTAACCCAACGACCGTACCTACACTAGTCATGTTCGTTCGGGATGCTGATGCTGTTCCGGTAGCCCTCCTCCGCCAGTGGTCTTCAGAATTATCCGATTCCCAGCCAGGTACGGAGTCCGGAAGACAGGAGATCGTGGCTTCTAATGTGACGAGTCATTCCGAAACCAAACGACCCTCTGGACATTGGGTGCTGGCAGGGCTCGTGTTTCAAGCTGTATATATGGCAGCCAATTCCTGAGCATCACGCTCCAGGTTTCACCAGCATGAGTCTCGGGAGGCAAAAACCGCTGCTCTCTCTCACACCTGTACAACGGTAATAGGGCCACCCAAGATCGGGAGTGGCAGACAGACAGGAAACAGATCACATCTCGGGTCGCACTACGAAGGCAATAACCCGCTCTCGTCCAGTGGGAGATGCGCGCATGAACTTGTATGGATTTTAGGAAACAAGAAAAATCATATTTCTCCTCAAGCCTCACGCTTCTTACATCCCTGGTGTGTCGGGAAAGAAAGATGCGAGTGGATGAGGAGTCGGATTCAGCCTTAAGCTTGAGGAAGCATCATCGAAAATCGTGAAGATCACTTCTCGGCGACAGGGAGAAACCGGCAAAGCCGACTACTCATTAGAATTTGTATCTTCGAAGCTGATCTGATGGAAGAGGGAGAGAGCGTTGAAGCGCAGCTTTGCTCGGTCACCATGCGTGGATCTCATCTGGTGGAGGAGAAGGATGGATCCCGGGGGGGATACACACACGTAGGAAGCAAAGCAGTCCACTTCTATCGAACCCAACCGATAATGACACCCAAAGTGAAGGGGAAATTCCCGCTTCAGAACGAAGGCCATCAGCAGTATAAGAGCCCAGGAAACGCGATAATCGCGAGGCTGGCAGAGACAAGAAGCTCATCTTTTTTGGGTCGTGGCCAACTCATCCAAGGCCGTACCTTACTTAAGTTTCAGTGACTGTTTTCTTAATCAGTGCCGGCCACTGACTTTTAGTTACTTTGAACTTGGGGGTGGACACTAAACCGCCAACTCCAGCATCCATCCATCCTTATACTCCTTGACTAGTTCTTTAGTGACCGACCTTACCAGCCTTCTCTATTTTTTCCCCTCCCTCACCGTTCCCACCCCATCGATCAATCAATCAATCAATCAGTCAAGCAAGCACATCCACTTGGGCCATTTCCCCCTCTTCCCTGTTGCTGCTGCCCTTCGATTAGATTTTTCTCTCTTGTTCTTCTTTAATCTTGGGCATTTTCCCTGCATCCGAATCATTATTACCCAGCCCAGCCCCGACCAACTCGCAATCATACCTCCAACCCAATCAATGCACGGGTGAACTCTTGCGGTGAATGTACATGGCCACCATCCATTGATTATCCACACCGATTGTTGGCTTATCGCAAGTGAGGGTGCTGCCTCAATTCATTCACTCGCCTCATCCTCATCCTCATCCTTAATTCTCGTTCTCTCTCATTCTCACTCTCTTCTCTCTTCCCCCCACCTTTTCCCTCGTTGTGTTAATTCGAACCACCGGCAACTACCGCCTCGGGTGTTTCTTCCTCCTCTACTACTGCTAAAATCTCCGCTGTTATTGCATCTCCCTCCCAACACTCCCCAGCGCTGGTACGCTTCTTCTCTTTTGCTTTTTGTGATATCGCAGCAATCCCTCACAGCTGCCCTTCTCTTGCGTCCCCACCTGCTCTGATCGTCATCCTTCCTTTCCCTTTCCCTTTCCCCCTCCCCAATCCTCTCCAATCCCTCTCTTGCTGCCCATCTAATTTACCCGCCTGCTTCCTTTCTCCTCATCCGAGCTGCATATCGATCGGTCCGATCTGTAGTGACACTTCAGTCTGTTAGCAGTCGGACCCAATCCCCAGCCTTAATCCTTCCAACTACCCTCCTTCACCCCCCTGCACACACACACTTCCTGCCCCTGAACTTTTGCCAGCTTCCCAAAATAGGCAAAAAGGAAAAAAAAAAAACCAGGGAAGACAAGACAAGACAAGAAAAAAAAAGGAAAATCATTGTTCCCACTCGCCCAAGCACAGAGTATGGTCTTGTCTGGCTGAAAAGAAAGGATTCTCCGCTCTCTTCTTCTCCTTCATCATGGGCGTCGACACCCGCAGACCGATCTTGCCTGCCCCCACTGAATCTATTGTCGATACCAACGGCAGCATCACAGGCACTGATCTGGCAACTGACATATCTCGCCGCACAGACAAGACCTCATACTCCATTCCAGACGACGGGAGCCCCGTCACCATCCCCACTCGTCGGAAACATCGCTCCCGCGGGGACGACTCCAAACTGTCCCGCTCGTCGCAGCACTCCCAGACCTCCCTGCTCATCGAGTATTTCGAGGGCGGGAAGGGTTCTGGCTCCCTCACTTCCCGCCCCAGTGTCCGTGTCCGTGTCACCCCTTCCTCCGCGCGGAAGCTCAAGGACCAGAAGGACCACATTCAGATCACCGAGTCGAGTGGCAATCGGAAACCCGTCTATTCCCGCCGCATCTCCCTGAGCTCGCCCCACAAGCACAAGTCGCTGGAGGAGTCGGCTGTGGATGACAGTTCTTCCAATTCAGCCACCGATGAGAACCAGCCTCCCGGCCATTCTCCCTTAGAAATCGAGCTCATGAATCGCGACCAAGGCAGTGAGCTCTCCGCCCTGTCGCGCGACAGGTACTTCCACCCAACCTCCGACATCTCGTCGATGCCGGCGGATAGCATGCTGGAAGCCCCCTCATCTGGTCCTCGAAGAAAACGCAGTCAGAGCTTGGAACGTGAATCCAAGGAGTACCTCAAAACCCCCCGGCGACAACGTAGTCGCAGCCTCAGCACTGAACGCATTGCTCATCGAGTCGCAGAGAAGCTCAGCAACGACCCTCGTGACGTCTCTAGGCAACGCCGTCGTGCCGAAAGAAGTAGGTTCGAAGACGGCAGTGATCTCCAAGATATGGATTCGAAGTCTCCTCGTCGTCGGGCTCTTCCCGACGATATGATGAGTCCAGAATCCAGCCTCCTCAGCGCCTCGGCTGTGTCCTCGCATCGCCGATCCGGTGATCAATACTCGTTCAAATCCGGCACCTCGAAGTCATCGATCAACAACCCAAAGCTTCTTGAAACTGTGGAAGACGCGATCCGAAGACTCATACTGCCTGAGCTGAAGGAACTTAAGAAGGACCAGAAAGTCATCACCAACACGTCCAAATTTGAACGCGACATGAACACCTCACATTCATCAGCCAGCACGCCCTCTCGGGACGAGCTGGGCAGACGACTTTCCAAACACGCAAGCGCTCCTGACGTCCGAAAGCCCAAGGTTGTCCTGAATAAGGATAGTCGCGATGAAGGCATCGTCCTTTCGGGCGACTCCGTCCCATCCCAAAAAGAACGGAGATCGAGCAAGGACAGCGAACGAAGTCATGGCAGAAGCGAAAAAAGTCAGGATCTCGGTTACATCAGATGGGCCAACCGCCCCGAGTTGACGGAGCAAGAAAAGCTCCGTCGACAAAAGAGCAAAGGACTTCGTGATGCAGAAAAGGCTGCACTCGTGGGGACGGCTCTAACCGCTGCAGCCCTCCAGCATCACGACTCACGGTCCAGCCTCGGAAAAAGCGAGGGAAGAAGAAAGAGCAGTGGGGCCCGAAGCCGCACCGGCAGTATTAACGAGACCGAACTAGTCTTCCAGAAACACAATGTCGCCCCCATGCCACTGCGCAGTGCGATTGAATCCGACCTCACCAGAGCTTCCCTTCTCTCCGAGCAGACCGCCGAATCAGCAGCACCGTACGGAGACACCAAATTCCATGAAGGCTTCCGCGGCTCCCCTTTCCAGTCTCTCTCGCCAGCACCCCTGTCACCTGCACCTCGCACGCCAAATAGAACGCCTCTGGACGTGCGGCATGAGCTGAAGCTCAAGCACAGCAACTTGTCCAGCCATGACTTGTCGATGCATAGCCCCTCGAGTCGGTCGCCCGTCGGGGATGCCGCCGCAGGCGCTATCGCCGCTGCCGCTGCCGCTAATTTGCTCGACTCCCACTCCGAGAATCATGACCTCGACTACAGTGATCTGGCGAGCCGTCGGCGCACTCTTAGTCCGATACAGAGCGTGGCCAGCAATGAGAGCCAATCTCCGGTCAAGCGGGACTTGACCCATTATGATAGGTACGATTACTCCGAAGATGAACGAGATTTGGAGCCGCGTCTCTCGATTGACTCTCTTTCGTCTGCGCCCAGTACGGATTTTGCAAGATCTACCCGTCCAGAAGGCCTCAGCATCACGAGCCAGACGGAGTCCCTACGCCGTCGACAGGAACCTGGCCCCGAGCTCGGCTACGAGGAGACCCCCCGACCATCCCCCAGAGAGGAAAGACACTGGGAGGAATATTCCGACGATGACGAAGACCAGCATTCGCTAGCAGAAACTGAGACGCAGAGCACCGTCGGTAAACGCATGACCGGGTACACCGATGACAGCGAGCTTGATCACCACGACCAGGAAGATCAGGGCCGACCGGTAGCTGAAGGCCTTGCTGCCAATCCCCGATTCGTACATCCGATGGCTGTTGAATCAGCGGTGGCCTCTGTCCTCGAACCCACGATCCTGGACACCAAGTCTAGCCAGTCTGGAGCGAACCGCTCCATGGCTGGTATTCCGGAGCAAGAGGAGGAGGACTGGGAGCCGGAGCCTCTGGAGCAGCATGAGCAGCATGAGCCGGCAGAGCACGAATCTCACCGAGGTACCCCCCTGAAGCAGCGCGAGGAGGTTTCCAGCCCCGACGCGACCTCGTTCCCTAGACGCATGGGTGCTACGTCGCCGCCCCAGAGTGTCACCCAGTCGCTGGACGACCACTACCAGAACGAGCCGGCTCCTTTGTTCGCTGGCGACCTCGACAGCAGCCCAATGCCGCATGAAGACGACCGGAGCCCTGATTCAGAATCGGAAATCAATACTAATCCTTCCATCATTCAAGGTCCCGCGGCTCACGAAAACAGCTGGTCGTTCAACCGCACCCCTTCCAAAGACGCTCCGTCGCCCCTCTTTGACAAGTCTGGAGCTGGTGCAGGTGCTGGCTTGGGCTTGGGTTCAGTTGAGCCCTCCCACTATGGCCAGGACTACTACCCGGAGGATGACTACGGTGCGAACGACTACTATGATCAGCAGTACCACGGAGGCCAGATGCTCGGCACACCGCTTGGTGCCAAAGACGAAGGGTATGTGTCGGCCGCGAACCCTCGCTCCCCGAGTGTTGAAACCCCTGAGCCGCTCAGCAAGGGTATTGCTGGAATCGACACAAATGGAATGGGTTTGTTTGACAGTCCCCTTGGTGGGGAAGACCACTTTATGCCTGGTCACCAGCGGCAATTGAGTGGCTACTCTCAAGGAGTTGGCTCACCTCTGTATGACAGTGCAACTGGAAAAGGAATTGATCGAATTCAGTCCAAAGACATTGTTGCACTCATGGACCATGTTAGTAAACATGTCATCTTGTTTGAAAGTATCACTGCTGACTTATTTGAACAGCTCACGGTTCGCGATGCCCAACGGAATGCCAGGGATACGGAGATTCTCGTGACTCTCGTTCGAAGCGCCGCGGAAATGCGCAATTCATTCGAGGAGATGAAGAAGTTCATTGCCCTACAGGACGGAATGCTCATGGAAGCTAGTGACCGACAGCACGAGCGGACCTATCGAGCTCTTGGTGGGCCGCGCCCTCAGCCGGTCAGCACGCGTAGTGCTCGTCAGGTGCCTATTGACGATGGAGATGACATGCGTTCGAAGCGGAAAAATATCTTCAAGCGAGCACTCAAAGGCCTGAGCCTCAAAAACTCCAACGATCTCACCCGAATCGAGGATATGTTGGAACAGCTCCTTGATGAAGTCGAAGCTCTACGTTACGGCCAGGATGACCGGTACATGCGGGGTGGCAACCGGGCCGCCAGTGTGGATCCAGAGGGCTATGAGCCGGAGGGCCATGCTGGGACTTCATCGCCCGGAAACCAGTCGGAGTACCTTTCCACCTCTTCCCAGCCTGTTCTGGAACCACTCGTTGGGAATGGACTGCGGAGGGGCATGGAAAACCGCGTCAGTACGGTGCCGGAACTGGATGAAGACATAGATGAGCAGGAGTTCCCGAGTCCAACCATGCCTTCGCAGGAGCCGGCCAACAACCGCCAGGGCCGGGCTGGCTCCGCACCTGTGTCAACACCTCCTCGTGAGCCTATGGCTTCGGGTGCCCTCAGTAACGAGGCGACGCCGAAGACGACGGAGAAGGCTAAGAAGCACAAATCGAGCAGCTCTTCGTTCTTCCCCAAGATCTCCCGTTGGTCCAAGACCACGGCGTCTTCGATGGGAGACAACATCCGCAACAGCATTCAACCTGGCCGCAGCAAGGAGAGAGCGTCCTTCGATACCTCGCGCTCTGGATCCGAGGCTGCACCAGGGCCATACAAGCCGGACTACTATGATCCCCAGGGCGAAGACCGATTGCGCTCGACGTACACTCTGGAGGACCCGCAACAAGAGAACCGGCCGCCATCCCCTCTGGTTCCGTCTCAGGCATCGGGACAAGCGTCGGAGGCGCCAAAGTACCGGGCTCACCGGGGCAGTCTCGATCTTCACCATCCCCAGCCTCGCCAGGGCCCGTCTGGGCGATACCAAAACCAGCTAGAAACGCAAGCACAGGTCTACGGCGTGCCAGCGGGTGCACCTTCGGACCAGTGGGGATCCAACCCCAGCTTGTCTGGCGTGAACGCCAACCTGCGCTACAGCGGCGCCAGTCGTCTTTCGCCCATCTCGGACGCGGGCTACTCGGAAGCGAGCTCGCGGCACACGGGGCCTCCTCGTCCGCCGAAGATCAAGGATGAGGGGCCACTGATCCCGGAGCGGCCGCCCAAAGTCAAGGAAGACGATGAGCGATCGTACATGGAACGAGTTGCTTCGCGGGTTAGTGACCATACCCGGAAGGGACGATTTATTCGCATGATGCTGACCATATCTCTGTAGAGTTCGATCATGCGCTCTCCCCGTAGCACACCGCCTCCCCGGAAACCCACGGGGCCTCGTCCCCTAACGTCGGGCAGCCAGTTCAGCCCTGCGCGGCGGCAGCGAAGCCAGTATCGCGCCAGTCCGGAGCAGGTGGATGCCGACCATGACTATTGACGCGACAGACGTTTGATACCCAATATTATTTTTCTCCTCTCGTCATTTTTTCTTTCGATTTGAACCTGTTATACGATTTGTTATGTTCACGACTTATGACCCGCGCAGCGATAGCAAGCGTGCATGAAATGGATGGTTGTATGGGCGGAAAGGGGGGATGTGTCGACTAGTACTGCTACTTTTGTACCGGCTTTTGCATTTTTGTGCTATATGATTCCCTTCTTGCAGCATATTTTTCTCGATTAGTGCATAATGGATGGGCTGTATGCCATGCGATGGATGGAATACAAAAGTTTCCCGCCTTTTTTCTAAGATTCAGATAGTGTTGACATCATTGTGCCTAAGTCGAGCCCTGGTTTGCAGCTTATCAGTTCAGCTGCAGACCAGCAGCAGCTCAGCTGAGGTTCAGCTCGGCGATCCATGGCTCCAGTACATGCGGGGTCAATGCGGAGAACAGCTGATGTTCTTCCATACATTTAAGCAGTGAATATCTCCCATTTGGTGGGTGTTTCGATTTTGTATCTCTACATTGTCAAATAACTGCAACCAGATACATATACAATATTATTATCGTCATGACTAGTGATACTACTACTACTACTATTAACCCCCTCGACCTCCCCATCTGCACCACCTGCGGCACCCAGTTCTCAACCCCCACGCCGCCAACTCCATGTCCTATTTGCGATGATCCCCGTCAATATCTCCCTCCAACTGGGTATATACCTATTCCCCCATTCTTGAATACACTACACCCCCACTCTATCCCTATACACATCCATACTCACCACCACCACCACCCACAAAACACCACCCACAAAACACCACACAACATACTAACCCACCACAATAAAAACCAACAGACAAGACTACACCACCCTCCGCGCCCTTCGCGCCCCCACCCACGAACCCCAACTAAAGAACATCCTCGCCCCTCTAAACCCCAACCCCAACACCACCACCAACACCAGCAATAAAATCTACACCCTCCACACCACCCCCAAACACTGCATCGGCCAACGCGCCTTCCTCCTCCTCACCCCCCATGGCAACATCCTCTGGGACTGCATCCCCTACCTCGACACCGAGACCATCACCAACATCAACGCCCTAGGCGGTATCTCCGCAATCATCATCTCCCATCCGCACTACTACGCCACGCACTTAGTCTGGGCGGAGGCGTTTAACTGTCCGGTGTATTTGTCCGGGGAGGATAGGGAGTGGGTTATGCGTAAAGAAGAAGATGATGATTCTGGAAAGAAGCAGAGGCAGATATTCTGGGACGGTCAAGAGGTAGAAGTCCTCCCCGGCAGCGGGGTGATAGGAGTCAAAACAGGTGGTCATTTCCCGGGTAGTTCGGTGCTGTGGTGGAAGGATGAAAAGGTGATGTTTTTGGCGGATACTATTGGGACGATTCCTAGTGGGGTTGGGGATTATGGCGACAGAGGGAGGAGGGAGGGTACGGCGTCGTATACGTTTATGTGGAGTTATCCGAATATGGTATGTCTTCTTTATCAGTTCTGTCTTTTTGGGATAGGGTTGCTAATGGGCTGCTGGTGGTGGTGTAGATTCCCCTGCCGCCGGATGATGTGCATGGTATTTGGAAGGCTCTTAAACATACGGAGTTTGATCGGGCGTATGGGGCGTTCATGGGGATGGATACGGTTGGGCATTGCAAGAAACGGGTGTTGGTTAGTGCGAAGATCTTTGTTCGGGCTATGGGGTATTTGGACCATGCGATTCATGAGGAGGAATGTGCATGATTGATTGATTGGATTACATATTTGCATTACACAGTACATACTGCATGGTCTTTATTGGCGCTTCTGCATCTGCATCTGCACTTGCACCTGCATCTTCTGCCCCAGATAGCTCCATCGAGGAATAACATCTTGCATTTCCATTCCTCCCCCAAAGCTGCTTGCTACACATCGGTAAACGGCCTCACTGAGGTCCGTACCGCTGTGGCCTCGCTGGCCCCATTGTTGGCACACTGCGCCGTGGCTAACGAGCTCGGCTCCAATCCATCACTGATGGGAAACGGTCCCGGATAGCTGTCTGCCGTGCGCGTCTGCTGCAGCTGTGCCATATCCAACGTGACCTGCTCAGGCTGCGACTCATCCGCCAAAACACTATCCATCGACCACGGCCGACTCAGAATGCTAAACCGCAACCTGTCCGACATGAACCCCGAGAACCGCACCCCGGGAAGCATACCCTGCTGCGGACTCGAACAGTTCGAATTCGGATCACTAATCGACAGACTTCTCCGGACGATCGACGAGTAAACCGAGTCACTAGGAAGCGGCTGGTGGCCCAGGAAGTGCACGCTCGCGCGCGTGCTCGTATGGTCGTCAAACCCCCGGTCTCTATCGGCAATAGCGAGCTCCAAGCTCCGGGTAGGCGCGCTGTGAGACAGTTGAACGACCCGCGACGGCACCGGCATGAGGGGAATGACCAGACTGGAGGAGGGGACGCTGTCGGCCGTGGTGGGTCTATCGTCTGCGCAGGAGAAGCCTGCGTTGGAGGGCAGACTGGTGTTCACCGAGGTGCTGCTCTCGGGGATGATTTCAAGCAGGATCTGGATGATATGTTGCTCTTTGCGACTGATGGCTTGACCGACGTAGCTGTAGGGATATCGGGGCGAGCTGCGTCGTACCCCCGTGAGGCGTGCCAGCAGGTTCAGGAGCTTGATGGTGAGGAGAGTGCCGAGGAGGGCGAGCACGGTGCGGATATTGATGGCATTGAGAATAGGATCGCGATGAGCTGGATGGTGTTTCTTGGCTGACATGGTGGCCGGCAGGAAGATTTATACTGGATGCAGGGTGAAAAAAAGGATGAGGACTGCAGGGGAGAAGCAGAGATAGATCATTGTGAGGTGTCAGACTCGGAGATATGAGTGTGGAAGTTGATGATGTATGGAGTAAGAGGAAGGTGCAACCGTTAAACCTTGACAATCTCTTGTGGAAATTATTCTGATGTAAATGGTGCAGATATAATGCAGTTCAGAAGTATTGCAGTATGGAATGGAGTCTATAGTAGCATGAAGTATAGAACCGAAACTAGTAATAAAGGAAACCCAACTTAAGTAACTCCGCATGCCAGTCTCCACTCCATCTTATCAGCCCATCAAACCACTTCCTTCTTCAACGTCACTTCTCCACTCTACATTCCTCTGCTTCTTTTCTTCCTCCCTCCTTGCCTTGATATCTTGTCAATGTCCATCTCTAATCCAGCCCTACGCATTTCCCGTTCCCTCATGGCATCCCTAAACAATTATACTCTCCGTCAACGGCGATTCGCCCCTCTCCTCCCCTCTTCTGCTTCTTCCTCCTCCGCACCCCCACTCCGCGGAATCGTCTTTGACGTCGATGGCACATTATGGTATACCTATACCTACCCTCAAGCTACCAATCTCACTACTAATCAAATATAATATAAATATATATAGCCTCCCCCAAAACCACATGTTCTCCGAAATGCGGTACTTCCCCCTCCTCCACCCCCACCCTACACTACAATCCATCCTAACAAACAAATAATCTAGACAAGCCCTCAACATCGCCCCCAAAGTCGACATCCTACACCACATCAGCCGTCTCCCGACTCCCGAATCGCGTCTCGAAGCCACAAACAAAATCAAAGCTATTGAGCGCACCGCCATGGAATCCCAGCAGCCTCAACCGGGCTTGGTCGAATTGATGGATTTCTTAGAAGAGAGGGGAGTGAAGAGGGCTTTGTGTACGAGGAATTTCGAGTATACCTCCCTCCCTAGAGATTGTTTGTGATATGCAATAAAAGAAGGCATATGATACTAATAAAGATGTGGTGTAGAGCACCCGTCCTCAACCTCCTCAACAACCATCTCCCTGCACATGTCTTCCTCCCCATTGTGACACGGGAAACACCGGGGTTGTTGCCCAAGCCGGATCCAGCAGGGATATTGCATATTGCCAGGGAGTGGGGGGTGCAGGATGAGGGGGGGATGGCGGGGGGGTTGATTATGGTATGATTTCTTTCTTTTCTTATTATTACTCTGTTTAATTTCTGATTGAGTATTTGAATGTGGTCGGTGTAGGTCGGAGATTCTCTCGACGACATGACAGCCGGACATACCGCCGGCGCAGCGACCGTGCTTCTGCTCAACGACCATAATGGACATTTGAAGGACCATGCGCATACGGATCTCTGTATCGAGCGACTAGATGAGTTGATTCGCATTCTAGATGAAGGGTTCGTGGGACATCGTGGGGGTGAGAAGACCCCTACGTCTACGGATAATGCCGTGGAGAATGGCGTATAGACTATTACTGTCCTGTCATCCTGTACACATCACGTTGGATATCTATAGTATCATCTCATCTGTACATATAATGAGCTCTAAGCTATGGGCTATGATCTAACACACACAACTTTTGAAACATGCAACATCAAACGTTCCACCCTCGGGGTATATATACACACACAGGAAACGCCAGCGTCAACGAACCTGTTCATAACGATAGAAACCCACCCCCTCACAGCCGATACTTATCCCATGCTTTCTTCGCCGCACTCGGTAACGGTCGATACGCATCCCCACCACCACCACCACCTCTCTTCCCACCACGACCTCCTCCACGACCGGGATTCCCACCTCTCGACGGCGGCCGACTACCACCACCACCGGACGACTTCCCCCGTCCACCACCGCCCTGCCAACTATCCTTCCCACCTCTCCCGCGCATGGAACGAGGATTCGGCGACATCGAGCGCTGCCTCGACGGGCCGAAATCAGATCTATCGCGATACCCATTACCACCCGAAATATGCTTATTCCCTCTACCGATTCCGCTTCCAATACGGATATTGCCGCGGCCGCCGCGATGGACAGGTGCACGTCGATGAGCCATCATGTCGTCGCTGTCGGAGGAAGGCGGGCGATGGTCGGCGCGGCCGCGGATTTTGAGACCTCCTCGGTTATTACCATTATTGTTGCTGTTGCTATTATTGTTGTTGTTTCGTCGATGGTTGACGACGGAGTTGATGTTGGTGATCATATTAGGGTCAATGCCGCGGACGGTCCAGGAGGAGGAGAGTAGGGTTCGGGTGGATGGGAGGGAGGGACAGTCGCCGATGAGGTGGCGGTTGCTGGTGCAGTGGGCGCAGGAGAGGGAGACGAGGACGGGTTCGGAGTCCGGGCGGGTAGTAGTGAGCTTCCACATCAGGTCGCAGTCTTCTTCGATGTGCGTGGTAGAGCCGCATAGTTCGCAGGGGAATTCGCTGGAAGAGCCTTTCAGTGCCGATGGGCAGTTGTCGTCGTCGTGGCCGCGCGCGCGACACCGTTGGCACCGGCGCCAGGTCGGACAGAAGCTGCTTTGGTGCTGGTTCCAGGCGCCGCAGTGTATGCACTACATGGTTGGTTAGTTGGTGGTTGTGGGGATGATGGGGAAGGGGTGAGCGTTACCTCTCGGGACGGGCAGACATCTGCGAGATGGCCCTCGAGTAGACATTCTGTGCAGGCGATGGGAAGTTGGAGGTCGATGGCGTTGACGTCGCGGTCGTAGAAGCGGTATTTCGCTTGGACGTCCATGTCTTCGCGATCGAGGTCGGCGAGGGTGGAGGGGGCGGTCGGGTATTTCTTCGAGAAGCGGAGAAGCGCGTCCTCCTTGGATTGGTTTGTGGAGGTTTGTCCGTTGGTAGATGTTCCGTTGGATACTGGTAATGCCTCAGGGTCGTAGTCGTCGTCGCCGTCTGGGGTGATTAAGCCATCCTGGTCCTGACCGAGACTTTGGCCGTTCCGTGACCCGATATTCAGCAGGATGGAATCGTCTGCTTCCGAACCCAGAGACTCTGAATCATCTGAGTCGCCGGAGAGCTGCATCTGACTGGACTCGTCTGAAGCTTCCTCCTCATTCACTTCACCCTCTTCAATACCATCGACTTGAGCGGGCTTTGATGCTTCCGGTTCGTTTTCGCCTTGGGACGAGACAGATTCACTGCGACTGCGCCAGAATTTGTCGTTGACAGAGTCGAACTGTGACGTAGGTTTGCTCTCCTCTGGCTTCGCGCGACTGCGAAGCGATGTCCGAATCGCACTCTTGCTGCCTTTATTCCAGCTCGCCGGCGGCGCGGGCGCGGACTCGGTCTGCGCACCATCATCATCATCATCATCACCACTGTCGGACGACCCGTCGTCACTGTCGGAACCGGAAGACGAGGTAGCGTCTACATCAACACCAAGTCCCGCTGCACTAAAGGTAGCGCCTTGGGGGACAAAGTCGCGGACATTGCGAACGTCGGCGGAACGACTGCGGCGACGCCTTTTCCGCGGGTTCGGGTTGGGATCGTGGGAGCTCTGACGCGAGGAGTGGCGGGAGCCGGTTGTCTGAGCGCGGGGGCCGACGGCGGCGGTTCTGGAATCGTTGTCGTCGGATGGAGAATCGGGCATCCTGGGAAGAAGACAGGAATGGAAGGGGGAAGGAGCAGGAAGTTGAGGCGTTTGCTTGCTGCTGCAAGATTCGTTTCGGATTTACCTTCAGATTTCGCGGAGAGAATTTTACGGCGGGTGATAGGAGCCACTTGTGCCATGTGCAGGTATTGTATCGTCACGAACGAGTATCAGCATCACATCATTCATCATCGTTATTGCTTCTGATATTCATTGTTATAGACTGATGGCTGTCTGGTACAAGTTGATGGTGGAGAGGATTGGGAGACAAGCTACGTAATGAGCTGCAGTGTCTGGAAGGGGCACATATTGTGGCTTTTTTTTCGAGATATTTCGATCTTGGAGACGGGCCGGTCTATTCCTCGGACTCCTACGAATTGCTGATTGTTGTTGATCTTCGTCATGACGCGAGTAAAGGATGGCTGTGTTGGATATATCCAGTTCATATGGGTCCCCTCAACGAGAGACGGGCCTATCAGGAATCCTAGAGATGCGTTGGTAACTCAGATATGATCACCGAGAGGATCTTAGGGGATCAGCTATTGGCATTTCCTAGGGAAACCCTGGATTAAAGCGACAAATGCCATGTGATTAGTGCAAAACGATCCGATGTTCGCGACCTTCTCAGTTTCCAAGAGATACATTTGCTTTTTTGCTCCGGGATTAACGGAGTCGGAATATTTTATGAGTGATTGTCAGGGCGTGGACAATGCAATGAGAAGATTTATCATCTTATTGGATGATAGCAAAACGGAGTATTCAGCCATTGAGACTGAGATGGTTACTACACGCTTCCGAAGCTGTTCAGCAGTAGATAGACTATATGGTCACTGCAGCTAATTTGTGTGGACACTAGACGAACCTAAGTAAAAGCTCTCCGCCAGTACTAACTGCAGTATTTTGTTAGTAGATGCTGACAACGAGAGGCTCGTAGATTGCGTTTATCCACTTCAGTCTCATCCTGAGTCAGACACTCCCAGTAAGATTTCATATGTTCGTGATAACCAATCAAGGGAATATGGAATAGGAGAAAACCCTTCATAGATAGCATAGATAGCAATATAATCATTAATTAAGGTCTCGAATCAACCTAGACAGGAATGGCATTTGGTTGGTGCAGCGATGGTGTGGTCTAGACTCTATCTAGAACGATGGGATGCAGCAAGCGTCCCGGCTATTCTTAGCCACGCCGACAATTAGTTTGAAGTTGAGGATCTGCTCGGCTGCCCCTCGGGATGTCGGACTGCTGGCCTCTTTTATTTTTTTTTTCTTTTTGACTTTTTTCCTTCTTCTCTTCCATTGTCTTTCGTTTGAGATTTTTTCGATTCTCTTTCTCATCCTGCAAGTCATCCACTCGCTTTTTCTTTCGTGATATTATATTATCTTAGGGTCCAACTTCATTCTTTGGCCCGGCGGTAATTTACCCCCTGTTCCGGTAATACGGAGACCTGCTCCCGTGACCAACACCGCCGCCGATCGTCTTCAAGATCGCCTCCCAGTCGAAGTCACTCCAGTCTCTCGGTATTCCAGCCAGCTTGCTCTCTCGTTCTCTCGCCCGCGGCGTCCTTTTTGACCACTCTGCCATTCTCTCACGACCATTTCCTCTTCATTCCTGTCACTTGATTCCTCCTCTTTCTTCGCTCGATCTCCGATCAATACCGCCAAAGTGTCTTCCCTAATCGTTCCCCGTGCCATCTCCTTCCCCCCGGACGTCGACGCTGCGTCGCGCCGGTTGACCCCGGACACCACCATGGCCCAGGGCAAAGCTGGACGGAGGAGACGGTCGAGTAGCATCATCTACCAAGAGCCTCCCGAGTCCATTGAGCACACCAGCGACCAGGCTGCCCTGCCCAATTTGAATGCGAACTGGGTCAACGCCAAGGGTGAGTAGTGGCCACCTCCATCTCCACCATTTCCCCCCCCCCCCCCCATCATCACCACTCCGTCGCTGCAGAAGGAGGGGTTCGAGTTCCGGCGGGGACTTGTCACCAGCATATGTCCCCATGACTTCCATGACACCCCCAGTGGCTGACCACTTTGTACTACCGTTTAGGAGCCTGGACCATTCACTTCGTTCTCATCATCGCCCTCAAGATCTTGTTCGACATCATTCCCGGCGTCTCGCAGGAGACCTCATGGACGCTCACCAACATCAGCTACATGTTCGGTTCTTTCCTCATGTTCCACTGGGTGCGGGGCATCCCTTTTGAATTCAACGCCGGCGCGTATGACAACCTCAACATGTGGGAGCAGATCGACAATGGAGACCAGTATACCCCCACGAAGAAGTTCCTCCTCTGCGTACCCATTTGTCTCTTCCTCCTTAGTACACATTATACCCACTACGACTTGACGTATTTCACCATCAATTTCCTTGCAACCCTGGGAGTTGTCATCCCGAAATTGCCGTTTGTATGTTGCTGTCCTTGCTTTCTGTGGTGGGTGAGTCACTTGCTAACTGATGTGATTAGTCGCACCGTCTGCGAATAGGTCTCTTCTCTGATATACCCGAAGAGTAGCCGCTATCTTCTCTTCCTCTTTCCTTTCCGTTTCCTTTTTGGCTTTATCTACTTGCTTTTATTCCCTTACACTTAACCTGTGTGTTATTGCTTCTCCCTACTAAACTACTACTTCCCGTTCTTGATAATATTCTCCGCTTGGCGTCGCTGTCTCTTTTCCTTGCCTCTCTGTTCTTTTAACGTTTTGCTTTATCCCAAATCTCTCTATCGTGCTCGATTTCGTGGGTCTCGTATCTCGGCATGCAATGGGCAGACAGACCCGTCAGTCTTGTTTCGGAAAACGAAAAGAATGGAGGAGGCAAGGAAAAGGGGAAAATGTGGTTCGGTTTATAGAAAGGTGCTGGCGTGAATGGGGTATGCGGAATAGATGAAGATAAGGCGAGGCCGGTCTGATTGTTCTGGACTCTCTTCTCATCACTACACTCTATATAAGAAGATATTCCTTATGCTGTGGTACTACCTGTAGACCTGATATGGCTGTCCGTAGGCAGCAGTCCGCCATTGATGGCGTGATCTTAGCGGAGTAATTCATAGCCTCTTATTAGACTCGAATTCGGCTGGCAGTATGTAACTCTGGCTACGTGATCACACAGCCATGGGAACAGCCGAGATAACCTACTATAATACTCGTATTCATATCGTACTCCTCTTTTGACCCGCAAATCCACAAGCCCATCAAACAACAGTGAAGTGGTTTGTCAGACAGACAACTGTCCCTTGGCCTGCTGTTATCTCCCCTGAAAGAAATCAGCAATCCTCAATCAAAGTAAGAGTCCCACGGTGAATACTAGGGTCCGAGCAACTCATCGAGCAATAGCCATGTCCAATGGCAAGAGTTATCCAAATTGTTTACTCGTCCATCGAGGCCTCCCTTCCCTTCTGACGATCTACTGTAATATGATTGAAGAAACCATTTTACTGTATAATGTTTCCTTTGGAGGGTTAACGCGACGCGCCAAACAACTGGATAGTACATAATCGGTGCACTGCACGGTTACACTGCCATGATGCAGCTGATCAGACTTGACAGGAACTGTTACATGAAGTGTCAAACAGTGATCCCAGCAATAATCGGAAGATCAGAGTGAACGAATGCATTTCGTGCCCAATTTGGATGAAGACTAGATTAGCAGGCCACGTGGGTCTTCGGGGCAGTCTGCTGCGTCTGTAACTCCAGTGAAGATGATGGAGAAGTAATCTATGATTGATGGATATCCCAACAGTCACACTGTCGTGAGTAGGGTAAGATGGTCTAGATGTATGTGCCAAGGCGCCGAAAGCTGCACAGTTGGTTCACAGCAGAGCGGAGAAAGCGGTCTCCTAAAAATGAACTTGAGCCCCCCAGGTGGAGACTTTGTTCTTACTATAACTAACCCACTCCCTCTCATCTCTAGAGGACATGCCCTTTGTGGCTTTCCTCTCCCATACTGCAGGTTGTAAGTGGACTGAAACATTTGTTTGTTTCTTTCTTTCACAGTCCCACGTTCTATCAACAATTGGTCAGCAGTACCGCAAGTTCTTGTCGGCCCTGAAAGGGATAGATACTACTACTACGTCTATTCACAACCAACATACCATTACCTTCTCTTGCTCGCGCCATGGAGCATGATGTGAATACATTGTTGGAAAGAATCCGCCAGGCAGAGCAGCGAATCATTCAGGCAGAAGAGCGAATCAGTCAGGCAGAGCAGCGAGTCGAACCAAGCACCCTTCTTGGCCTTCTCGAAGGATGTCATGAGCTTTCTCTTGCTATACGTGTTGAGGCAGATGCCACTTTAACAACCCAGGGTGACCCAACGAACCCTGTCAGTAGAATCCGGCCTAAACGCTTAGTACCTTGGGAAGGGTTTCCTGCCTCTCAAGAGACCATCTGGGAAGCATTCGATAATGAAGGCCCCGGTTTTTCCACGCATCGCGCTTTCGCGTCCAAGGATCAACTGGATTTCATCCGGCAAGACATTCAACCAGTAAGGTCCGAACTTCAACTTGAATACTTCCAACGCGAAACTGTGGATAGATTCGTACGTTCAATTCTAAAAGAGATACACAACAACGACAGACTTCGTCTGCGCTTCAAACTCCATGGACATATTAGTTTAGAGGACCATAACAATGCCAATAACATGACCTCTCCCCTCGAAACGTCAATGCAACAGCTTCGAGTAGCAGAATCGATGCCACACGTACCTTCTACTCGAGGCAGAGCACGAAGTGCACAGCGGCCGATCCATCGGAGACGACGTAACCGTCGGGCTGACCAGTTCTGCGTCTATGTAATATCAGACGATCAACGAGTGCCCGTGTACGCTGTCGAACACAAAGCCCCACATAAGCTATCGCTGGCTGAAATACTCGCCGGCCTCCACGAGATGGACTTGGAGAAAGATGTCATTAGCACGGATGGAGATAGCTTCGAATACCATGCTACTGGCTCGTAGCAGCAGTAATCACCCAGCTTTTCTCATACATGGTAGACGTGGGAGTCCAACACGGCTATATCTGCACCGGGGAGGCCTTCATCTGCCTTCGCATCACCGAAGATCCATCGGTTGTGCAATACTATTTGCTCGTCCCCAACCGTGATGTCACTGACGAGGATGAGCTTCGTCTACACCGAACAGCAGTTGCTCAGGTTCTGGCCTTCACGCTCAACGCCGTGCAAGCTGATCCTCCATCTCAGGCGTGGTACGATGCAGCCGATCATTTGGACACGTGGGAAGTCGAATATCTGAATATCTTGAAACAGATACCGGAATCGGTCCGCAAAGAGCCGCCGTCTTCCGAATATAAGCCCCCGTCGTGGAAACCCGTGGATCGGTCTCCGTATATGCTACGACGGCGTTGTCAGCCTGACTTCCAGCCGTCACGGAAAAGCAAAGGAACTGACGATGAGGATGAGCATGGAGACGAAGCAGGAGCTCCTTCAAGCCCGCCTTCCCCTTCTCCGCCGCCTAATAATGCCTCTAGAAGGGCTCGAGGCGACCGAGGGCTCGGGCTCGGGCTCGGGCGAGGACGACGACGAGGACGAGGGCGAGAATCCCAGAAAGCTTGCGGGTGCACGCCGAAAAGAGCCGAAAATCCAAAGAACGCGATTCAAGACCAGTATTGCACGATGAAATGCCTGCGTGGTTTGGCTAAGAAAGGCCCTCTGGATCCTCAAAGTCCGAACGTCAGAAGACACGGACATGGTGTCCACAGCATCAACGCTCGTGATTTGACGCGCCTCCTGTCTGATCAATTATCACGCGATCGGGAAATTGGTTTCGAGCAGCTACACATCGTCGGTAGGACTGGTTTTCTCTTAAAAGCCACCTTATTATCTCGTGGATACACTGTGGTTCTCAAGGCCACTAGCGCCGAACAGCTTCCAAGCCTCGGGCAAGAAGTCAAAGCCTACCATCATCTCCGCTCTCTTCAAGGTACACATGTTCCGGTATGCGTGGGGGATTTTGCTCCGCGCGTTCGGTACTGGTATCACGGCCAGTTGATGGCGCATATGCTTGTTTTAAGCTGGGTAGGTATTAGAGCGAACAAGGTTATGACTGAGCAGACTGCCTCTTCTTTCCGAGAGCAGTGCAATGAGGTCTTGGAAAAGATCAGTGCGTGTGGTGTCATTCATAGCGACCAAGAATGGCGCAATATACTTTGGAATGAAGAGACTGGCGGCCTCGTGATCATTGATTTTGAGTCGCCTCCAAAAATCTCTGGCAGCAGACGGGAAATCTTTCGGGCAAGACAAAAACCAACATCTCGGTTACCATTAGGTGAATTACCGGGCAATCTAGTAGCCCAGGAGTCCACTTTTCCCAGAAAAACAAGTCAACCTGGGCAATAAGGGTTGGCCAGACCACCCACTGCAAGACACGGCGATGAGTATATCGTCGGCTGGCTTCTATCGATTGCATAGGGGTGGGGAGGCAGTCCGACTTCCTTATATTGATACGATTCATGCTGGCCATGCATACCCTTTCCCTCTTAGATAATTATTCTATGCCCATCTTGTGGGATTTACGAGTTACGAAGATGACGATAAACAAGAGTCCTTACACTTCTAATACATTACATACTTTTATATCCTATCTAATTCATCGGGTATCTGATGCAAACCAGAGCATCTTCTCCAAACCCCCTTATCCAAACAAAACAAAAAAATAAAATGTAAAACAACTAATCCTCATGCTCTCTCACCTCCTCCCTCCTAGTCTGCACCTGACCCCCACCCTTCTTAATATCCGACAATCCATAGAAAGCAATCATGCCCATACCCAAGAAAGCACTCACACACGAGAACACCAGAGCCACAATACCCCTAGCCGTGAAGCCACCAGGCAACCAGGCAACCTGCTTATTCTGGCCCGTAAGATCGGTATAATCCTTGGTATTACCGGCCGCATTACCCGCCGTAGCGATACCCGCCGCCTCACAAACCTCATAATGCTGCTGAGGGATAGTAACGCTAGACTGAATGGCCAAGGGGGCCTCAATGAACACCATAGCCAGACCCTGCGCCAAGTGCCAGTCAATGTGGCAATGGAAGAACCACACACCGGGGTTATCGGCCTTGAAGCGCACAACAAAGTAACCCTGGGGCGGAAGCACAAAGGTATCTCTCCGGGGCGGGTACTCCGGGAACGCGGTGTGGTTCGAGGCATTGTAGGTGATCGGATCACCGTCGGCGTAGTCATAGAAATGAGGACCATACGGCGGGTACCGATCGATCATCTGGAAGGCATGACCGTGAAGATGGAATGGGTGGGTACCGGTGTCGCCGTTGTTGAGGATGATTTCGACGATTTGGTCCTTCTCCAGCACGACGGAGTGCGTGTAGTCGCCGTAGACAGTGGCATCTGTGGCCTGGTCGCCCGCGGACATGACGGTGTAGAGGGCGGGGACTTTGGGAGCGGTGTAGGAGATGTCGTTGAGGAAGGCGTAATCGGCGCCGTCGTCGAGGACTTGCATAGTGACAGTGAGATCGAGGGAGATGTCAGGGTTCTCGAGAAGGGGCATTCGGTCATGGGGGACAAGGCCCATGTCGTCGTAGGGGTTGAGGTCTGAGCAGTCGGAGACGGTCATGACGGCTTGCTCGAACGCGGCGCTGGAGTTGTACTCGAGCCAGTTGGTCTGGTTGAGTTGCAGGTCTGAGGGGATGGTGTCGAGCAGTTGGGAGTCGGCGACCATGACGATGGGGTAGTTCTTCTCCGTGGAGTTCTTCATCGTCACCAGGACGGTGTAGCGCTGCGCGGCGGAGATGTAGAGGATGTCTGCTTCCGCCTCGTCGGTGTAGATGCCGTCGACTTCGACGATGCGCATGGTGTGGTCTTCTATGTAGAAGTACTGGGCGACGAAGGCGCCGATGTTGATGAGACGGAAGAGGTAGGTTTTTCCTGCTTCCACGGGGATTTTGGTGTTGAGGGTGTCGTTGAAGAGGAAGGAGTCCGGGATGGGCTCGGCGCCGGTGGGGTTATCGACGGTGATGAAGGTCGGGGCGATGGTCTCGGTCAGTTCGTGGTACCAGTCTGTCATGGTGATGGTGAGGTCCTCGTCGTACTTGTCGGCGAAGTAGGAGGAGTTGTCGTGCACGATGAGGGCCTGGCGGTAGCCGTCTGGGTAGCAGTAGTCGGTGTGGCAGTGGTACCAGTACGTGCCGTTCTGGTTGACGGTGAAGTTGTACGTGATGGAGCTGCCCGGCGGCACAGGACATTGGGTCAACATGGATGGGCCGTCCATTTCCGTGGTGTTGGTTTGGTACATGCCGTGGAAATGGATTGAGGCGCTCTTGTCGCCGAGTCCATTGTGCATGTTTACTACGAGGCGGTCGCCCTTGTCGACCTCGATGATGGGCAGGGGCCATTGATTGTTGATGCCGACGACTTGGCGATCGGCCAGGCCGTCTGGGTTGGCGGTCACCCAAGTGACGTTCCAGTCATAGGTCACGGTTTTGGCCTGGCATTGGGCGATGAAGAAGAAGAAGGTGGCGGCGAGCCAGGGGAGAAGACGGCTGGGGAAGGCCATCTTGTCTGTCTGTCTGTCTGTCCTGTCCGGGATGAAAGGGCGGACGATGAAGGACGAGAGAGAGGGAGGGAATTTGCTCGGACAAAGAAGGAAAGAGAAATAGGGAAGGGGGGAGGTTCTACGTTGGGGGTTCTATATACCCTGGGCTGGAGGCCCTTTGGGGGTTTCAGTTGGCAGGGTGGAGTACGAAAGTAAAAAAGGTAAGATGAATTAAATGACTAGTATGACTACTAGATACTATGGATCAATCATCCCACTTATCAATCAGTCGGGCCGCCGGATGAAGGTAAAATGAGGAGGAGCCATCCACGAATGCGAGGCTTGAGACGAATCAGATAGCCCATCTGATATTGACTAGTACTACCGAATACTGGGCTGTACGTGAGGAACGGTTTTCTACCATCGCCCGAACTGGTAGATTTCTCGGAGTCCCACCCAGCATGCAGTCCCACAATAGCTTGATCCCCAGTTCAGGTAGAGAACGCCGACTTGGCATGGCTTGGCTATAATATCTCCGACAATGAAATGGCTTAAAGATGGCAGTCGAACAGATTTTTTCTTTTCCTCATCATTTGCAAGCGAGCAGATGGTGTCTTGTGCCCCCAATCTTATCAAACTGTCTGGGCGTTGGCTTATCTGATGCTGGGTCCGGTCGCGCCAAGAGCGGGTATTACGCTAGTATTCTTGCGGTAATGTGTTGTATGATTTAATTACGATTGCCCTACTTTCATTTACTACGCAGTATCATTCTGTCTTCCTCTGGCAATTTGCGGAACTGGCGCCTATTATTTTTCTTGGTTCGTCAAGGAACCATAAAGCCGCCAGATGCGATTACAAATTATAATCTACTTACATTACCCGCATGACGCGGTTCAATGAGAAAACCCCCCGCTCCGTTGTCTATACTAGCAGTCTAGCACCATCGGTCTATCGCTACGCAGCCCTAACCTCCGCCTCCCTCACAGACATTGGCCCTCCGACACCAGTCTCCTTCGCCTTGCCACTCTCTGCAAAAATCCCCGACTGCTCCACCGGCTCAACGCTCTCTTCTTCCACTGGTCGACGAAGAATGGTTGCTATCACCCGGGCCTTGAACGCCTGGTAGCGCGCAATCATCGGGTCAATAACGGGGATTGCACCACGCCGCTCCCGATACAGCATCGCAGCATAGGCGAGCATCACGCAGAGCCAGAATAGATTATAGCCAATCACGGATCCGTATGTGGCAGAGTTGGTCCAACCCAGCAAGGCGTTGAAAATGCCCCATCCGCCGCCACCTCCCAACTCGGGGTTGCAGCAGTTAACGTGCCAGATGCTCTGTCGGATGTCATAAGACCCAGGGCCCGACCCCGTTTCGGAGGCATCCCCGCCAATGATACTGTTCCATGCGTGGTTTTGGAAGTACCATACACCGCGGGAGAATAAGCCCGCGGCTACCAGGTAAAGGAAGCAGGTCGAGACAATTAAGAAAAATTGCATGGTCGATTCGCTGCCTCCTCTATAACATGTGATGTCTGCATTAGCTTGTGTCATCTAGCGAGTAACGGTGCTTGGTTTACTTACCGATAAATCAGATATCCAACCAAGCATCCTGCAATGAGACCGACCACTACCGCCAAAGGGAAAGAGGTAGCTGGCAATCCCAATCCAACACCACCAACATACACCACTGCCTCCAGTCCTTCACGAAGTACGGTGATGAATGGCAAGATAAACATGACGTATTTCTCGAGCCACATCTTCACACGGCCCTTACGCGAGGTGTTGGTGTTGCGGTGGTGCTGAAGAGCCTTGGTGAGCTTAACCCGCCATTTCTCCTGCAGTTTGGACACTCGCAATAGGGCTACTCCCATGACCGCAATAATGAGAGATGCTAAAATTCCTAGAACACCCTCCCAGATATCTTCGGTGCTAGAGAATGTGTCCGTGCCTAGGCTGTAAAAGGCGCCAATCATGCCTGCGCCGACGCAGAGGCAGATGAATAGTCCGAGTGCGCATCCTAGCCAGACCTGGTGTGGACGAGACAATTATAAACAATTGAATCTAACGATAATGACATGTTGAAGCCGCGAGTACACTTACCTGTCTCACGAGTCGCTTATACGTATCGCCCCCGTCATCCCCGAGAGTCTGCTTCAAGAAAGCCAACAGCACAGACACAACCACGCTTGTTTCCAGACATTCTCGGAAGCAGATGAAGAACACTGGTCGCAATCAGTAACCTATCACTTCACGAATATCTGTTTTGTTGCGATGAACCTACCAGTGACAGCAAAGACCGGATTATTGCCCATATTGACGACGAAGGGAAGAAGATTGGCCCTATGAACGCAATACAAACACACGCGACAACAAAAAGTTATTTAATCAGATCATCTCTCGAAATACGAGATCCGCTGATTGATAAGTATTCACTCGCTTGGCGGGATTCTTCCGCTTTTTTTTCTTCGAGCCACATCCGTCTATCTTACCCCTCGCCGTAAAACGAATTTTTTTACAGGTTCCATCTTACCATACCGTGTATGACACATGCATCAGGTATGATATGATTGCTATTGGGGTGATGCGAGGTGGGAAGGGAGGATTTTCACCCTCACCGTGGTCGATCTTGTTTATCACCCCACGTCCAAAGAGCTGATCGGATTGGGTATCCGTCCGCTTATCATGACCAGATTGAGACATAGATCCATTCATCAACCACCCCAAACACACGTGCTGGTTGAGAGAAATGCGCCTATGGCGGAAAGTCTGGTTAGTTATTGGGTCTGTGGGATATGCGGGTCAATTATCAATCCCGCCGGGAATGCCAGGGTCTTTTTGCGGTGGTGAGTCGAGTCTCAAGTGAGACATCCGATAACTAGACTACGCCCCTCCAATCAGACCTACGGAGCATCGTTCAGACCAGCTAAATTAGTGGTATGGACCACGAGCATTCTACGAAGCCAATCTCTATCTGGATATTGTCAGTGAATGGCTGCCATCTGGCTCCAGTGACTTCGTATTGTGCACCCTGGGATGGTGAATCCCGTTCGACTGCCGAGATCACCAATGGGAATGCGGATCGTCTACCGGACGGCTCGCGCGCAGCTCCCTGCCTTTCTGGCTTATATCACCCACATCATACGAGGTACGCGGGGCATCAACTGGAAGGTTCATCCAAACTTCACCGACATTGCGCACAGGTTTCAAGGGGGCGCGGGGGATTCATCCCTGCCATATGTTGTCCCCACTACTGCTATAGAGGCATTCATTTTGGGGGGTACATACACTCGGCAAACGAAAAAAGAGAATGATACGAATGATGTTGGGAACGTGAATCCTCAAACGATTGGCTCAGGTCAAGCTTTTCGTGGCACGGGGTGTGGGTACTTCGGCCAAACTTTGTTCGGGCCCGAGCGAAAGGAGTATAGCTTCATGTTCCTGGACAGTCGGGCTGGTTGGGAAAGTGGCTGTGGATGATCCGTGGGACTGCCCACGGTCTGTTCAAGAAGATTCTGTCTGACTTGCCGTTCAGATAGTGGTGTCTGGTCATATTTTCCATCCATGTGACCTAACGGACGGTGGCTCTCCAGGGTGGTGCTGGGCAAGATAGCCAGTATGCTTGCTAATCCACGAATTGTGCTAGGACGACTAATCTGCTATAGAACCCAACTCCCTGTCTTGTGCTATGGTGGAACAGAAGTAGGCTTGGGATTCTTCCTGGATAGTATGATTGTCTGTCGAGTGGGTATCTTGGAAATTCATCGCGCTTGTGCTCCTACGGTGTTCCGTCCGAGCGTCGGATCCATGGGAGTAGCCAGCCACTAATTACACCACAGGTTACTAACTAACCTTTGTGCATATGACTTTAAGAGTTACCACTTAGCTCTATGAGGTGCTCGTTGCTTATCTCTCCTGGTTTTCGTGATTAGATGTCATATGGCTTTTCACTATCCTTCGGTGTAGTGGTGTAGCCCTTCTATATATAATCGGGAAGGTATTTAGACACACCAACCACTCGTACCACTAATACATGGAGTAATCATATAGTACTACTACCTATATATTCATTAGTTACTGTATAGACTGCACATTAACTTGTATATTAATATGGTGATGGAGGTTCATGCGGAATACTACGTATCTCGGTCCCTTAGCCCACAGAGACTCGGTGGCTTGAATGTAGCAATGGAAGAGAGACACTGATGAATGTAGCACAGTAACAGAATTGAAAGCAGAAAAAGAGCTATTATATTGTGGCCGCCGTAGACAAAGAACATGGTTTCGCATGAAATAGAGCAATAAATAAAGTGTATCGCACAAAAAGAAAAAAGAAAGCAGATCAGGCCCAAACGCCAATTGTTGGCGCTGCTGGGAATCGAACCCAGGTCGAAACGGCGCTGCGGAAAACCACAACGTTTCATGATGACCACTACACTACAGCACCCTGATTTGCTGAAAGTTGACTCATTATTATGCATCATATTCTATAAGTTAGCAATCATCAACTCTCCGCAGCTCAGAAAGTTTCAGGCTAGCACTCAGGATACTTGGTTTATCCCGTCCATTTCAACCAACCCTTCATTTCTCTGTTGCAAACAGTAGGGAACAAACCGAATTGGTCTCGCAGTGTGGACTGCCTGATTGTGGCCCGCATTGTCAGGCACCGCATCTGATTGGCTGGCACACTTGCTGCCCCGGCTGGGTTATCGATAAGCATAGTCGCGTCGCTTTCTTTATCGCTCCGCCATTTCCATTTCCATTCATCTCCATCTCTCCCTCATCTTCTCCACATCCTCTTCGTTTCTCTACCTCTCCCTTCACTCCCATCTTCTATGGCGGCTTCAGAACCTCTAGAGGCGAATCTGCCTGTTCATCGACCCGCCAAACCCATCCCGTTCGAGCTAGCTCAACATGCAGCCATCTTCTTTGAAGAGAGACTCTGTCCGTTTCCTCCGCATCACTGTTTCTTCTTTGTCCACATCTGACCTCCCGGTTTAGATACACAAGCTATCAATTTTCTACTGAATATCCTCACATCCGGTACCGTTGCCTCAGCGCCAGTATATACTCCACCCGTCCAGCAACTCGCCCTAGCCGCAACTCTCCTCATACACCCCTCCACCACCACGCGCGCAAAAACAACCGAGGAGGAAGAAGCACCCCTGGCCGCATTACGTCTGCTTCGACTGACCAATACCCTCGTCGGACCCATCTCTTCGAAGCTAAACGTTGCATTCTCTTTCAACCTACCCGATTTTCCCCGCCATACAAGACGACGTCCCGTGGCAGAGAACATTCCCCCACCCTCGGACCTATCTTCCGATGATACAAAACCCTTGAACTTAGACCTAGGCCAGTCTCTTTCCCTGTGGTCCAATGCAGAAGACTTTTGGCATGTCGTTGGCTGGGCGTTCAACTGTTCTGTTCGCCATCGTCCCCGCTGGACGTGGTGGCAGGTCTGGCTTGAATACATGTGTGATGTTCTAGAGAGTGATTGGAACGAACGATTTCGACAGTATAAGGAGGCTCACACCGGGAACACCATTAGTGAACAGGGACCACCGCCCTCCCCGAAGAAGTCCCGAAGGAAGAAAACGCATCATGACGATGATCCAGCCCTCCAGATTCTTAGAGAAAGCATCATATTCCGTTACATCCACGGAGCTAGCACCACGTACGGTCCATACCGGCGCATCGTCCGCTCCATCTTTGCAGACGGTGGCTCGACCTCTCGCAACGAGTTTCGCGAAGTCTTCGAAAATGAACTCAAATACGCAAAAGCTCACACCTCCACCAGCAGAAAGCGCAGCGCGCAGGTCAACATCGATGAGAACGAGTTCGGCGACTACCTCACGGACGATGATCCGATCGAAGATGGAGACTATGACGATGAAAACAAGGATATCAATGAGACGGACGCCAATTCCGACGAGGAAGTATATCCGTCTGTTTCAACCACCAGCAGGTCCAAACGCTCTCGAGAAAAACCCACCCCTCGGCGCGCACCCCAGTCCAAGCGCAGAGGCAAATCACTCGCCATAGGCCCCAACGGCATCAATACACCCCCCGGCCCATACGGCGGCTCTGCCCCAAGCACTGGCGCTCGTGTGCCCATAGAAGAGCTTCCCACAAGACACATCCCCTACATGCACGGCGACGTCGGCTTCTACGGAGGCATGCGCTCGCTCGGTCTCCGACAACGTCTCCTACAACTCCTATCCACCGTCTCCCAATACCTCCCCGACGACTTCATCCCCCTCGAAGACCTCTACCACCTCTACGCCGAAAACATCCGCCACCTGCCCCTCCCTGTATTCCAAGCCTTCATCAGCCCCTCCACCCTCCCCTACCTCTCTGGCCATGCCAAAACCACCCTCTGCGAGTTCCTCCTCTTTCGCATGCGCGAGACCGCCGCCCCCGACACCGACGACGAATATCTCAACCAAGCCAAGCTGGAACGATGTTTCCTGCCTTACGCGGCCAGCACAAAATTCATAGCCGATAACACCAAAATCTCCCTCATCCTGGAGTCACTGATCATTCTTCTCGCCGATAACGGCATGCTAAGCGTCACAAAAAGTCTGCGAGAAGCCGTTCATAAGGGCGTTAATCGCCGTTTCGACCGGTCCGAATACCAATCGCGGAAATATGTCCAGGAAGCTTACAGGTGGGCGGATGATATCGAGCGTGCGTGGTTGGAGGAGAGTGCGGAGCGGTTACAATTTCTCGTGCTTTGTATTCTGCCGTTCGAGGGTGATGCCACTACCACATGATGCTTGAGGTATTAAATTGTTTCTTCTTTTTCTTTCTTCTATTTGCATGCGTGTGTGATTGGAGTGAGCGAATCAATAGCAAGCGCGTCATGTTGCTTTCCTTGTTTTTTAAAGTATACCTTCTGTTTCGCTCGTCGACTCTCATACTGTCTTGAGACAGGATTTCGGCCATATTTCCTTAATGTATAGATAGTACAAATACCCATTTTAGTTGGAACTGATATGAAACTGAATCTGAACTTTGAGATGTCTATCGGTTTTTCACTCGAAAACTACTTATTCATTTATTCACATTTGATTTCCTTTTATTTTAATTTTTTCTTTTCCCGAACAGAAATATATTTTTGAACCGCGAAAACCAAACAAACTTCGCAGTTGCTGCACACACCACCGCACCAAGCGGTGCGAGGGGGATTAAAAAAGGAGGCAAAGAAAAGGGTATATCCACAACACAGGGGAGATAAACTAAAACCAGACAGGCAGATAAAATAGATAAAGGGGGTAAAAGAAGACACTAAACGAGGCGAACTATGAAAGGGCACACTCCACTTTATATTTACGGAGGTGGCCTCGGCCCAATAATCTGCCGCTTAGCGCCCGCAGTAGAAGACCCAGCCCTAGCTGCTGCCTCCTGTGTCTGGCGCTGGTTTTCCTCCCACTCGCGCTGACGTTCCCGTTCGCGCTCCATCTCGCGTTCCAGAAGGGACTTGGAAGCCCAGCCACCGGCCTTGGTCTTCTCTTGAGCGGCGGCGCGACGGCTATTCTCGGCGTCTACCTCCGCTGTGGTGGTGTAGTCCTGAGGCCGGTGGGCGGCGGGCTTCGGGGCAACAGGGGGTCGGTTGGATGCGAGGAATCGGTCGACCCGGCTCTCTTGTGTATAGGGGCTTTGGGATGGAGGGGTGTAGCTTGTGGGATCGGGGAGGGGTCGTGGAGGCATAGGGGGCTTCGCTCCGGTGGGGTCGGGCAAGGGGCGAGGGGGCGTGGATGGTTTGTCCTCGGCGGAGATGACGGGCTCTGGGAGGGGTCGCGGAGGCATGCTTGGGGGGATGTCTGATTCTGTGAGTGGCTCGTCGTGGTGCTTTTGCCATTCGGTGCGTAGCATGCGACGCTCTTGCTCGAGGGAAGATAGGTCGTAGCTGGGCTGGGCTGGCCGGGGACTGCGAGGCGGCGATTTGGTGGCCCTTTCTTGGATGTCTTGACGTTCGCGCTCGTATTGGCGTTCTCTCTCCTTTGCGCGTTCTAACTCGCGCTCGAGTTCGCGGATTCGTTGTCTCTCGCGGTTCTCGCTGGAGACTGGGGGAACGGGAGATGCTGCCGGTAGACTGGCTTGGTACTGGCTGAGGAACTGTCCGTTGAGACGGCTGTCTTGCGCCTCTCGTCGTTGAAGTCGCTCGCGTTCTAGCCTATCTTCCGTTTCTTTTTCTTCACGCAGGCGTTGCCGTTCCTCTTCTTCCCATTTGCGCTGTTGCGCGTCCCAGCGCTTGCGCTCCTCCTCGACTTGACGCCGCTCTTGCTCCCTCAGACGGTTGGCTTCCTCCTCCCAGCGGCGCTCTTCCTCGATGCGGGCACGCTCCTCTTCCGCTTCGCGCTCCTGCTGGAGCTGGCGCTCTGCTTCCTGCTTTTCCAAAACTTGCCGTTCTTCCTCCTCCTTTCTCCGCTTCTCTTTCTCCGCCAAGCTGGGAACACGCGGGGCAGCGGTGGTGATCTGCCGACGTGCACCAAAGGCAACACCCATGCTGCCCTGGTTTGCGCCGCCCATGTAGCCGTACTGGTGGATGTTCCAGGCGGGGGCCGTGACAAACTCATCAGACTTCTTGCTCCAGCTGCTGACTGGCTTCGGGGACCTTGCCGGGCTGGAGTGACCGGATACACTCGACTTGGTGGGGGTATAAGCGCCTTGACTGGAACCGGTGGCATGCGGGCTCAGAGTGGCTGCCTTGCTTTGAGGACCGAGAGCGCGAGGGAACTTGCTAGGCTGGAGAGCATTGGCCCGACGACTGAAAGACGTAAGACATTGTAGGACTTGTGCGGGGTCCTTGGCTTCGTAGAGATCGACGGTCAGGAAGACATCGTGCGGAGGGAGGCTGATGGGCTGCATTTGACATGCGCGAAGGAAGTGAGAGATGTTCTCCATTTGCACAAACGGCATCGAGGACTGCTTGAACTTGACGCCGGGGGAGACGGCCAAGTTGACCAGCCTGCAATATTGTTAGTGTTTTTGAATGGCCCTGTCTTTGAAGGGAATTCGCATTATTCTCACCTGCAGAGTGCAACGCCATCTTTCAAAGCATCCAGGAGATCTCCTGGCGGGAGCTTCTCGTGTAACACTTCTTCAATCCAATCGCGCACTTCCGCGGCTGCCTGCGGGGTATAGCGGGACAAGCGCAGACTGCGCAAGTCCTTGTCAAGCGAGGTGACGGAGGCCATCTTGTATTTGGAGCCGTCTCAATCAGAGCGTTTGGGACATGCAGACGAATTTAAAGGACCGTTAGGCAGCTTGGGCGCGAAAATATACGAAAAAGAATAAGGGGGAGTGGGTGTTTATAGTGGCTTTCCGGTGGGACGAACCGGCAGTACGTCACAGGGGTTCAGGAGGGGGGTGGAGGCTTATGTGAGGGCGGATGAACCGGAAGATCAATTCAGGGTCTAGATGAAGAGAAGAGGAAGGGATGAAGAAGACAGATCACCGGGGGATTATGAGGGATCAATGCAGAATATTAACCGAAGAGGCAGAGACAAAACAAAAGCAACGAAGCCAAAGTTGAAGGGCGAACGGAATGCGGCGTGGAATGGAAATCGAACACTCGAAGCCCGAAATAGAAAAGAAACGCCCAGAACAATACCGTATTTGACGCCCCGTGACCGCCCAATCTTACCGATGACGTCCCGTCTGCCTGAGCTTTCGGGTGTCAATGACCGCCCAATCATCGCCGCTTCAATTCATCTCGGCTTCATCATTTCGATGATCGGAACATCATCTTCCTCTTTCTCCGCGCCACTCTACCACCACTGCACTGCCTCAATCTAGATCGCATAGCCTCCGATCGACCACCATCCTCACTTCGGTATTCCAATGAGTCCGATCAACAGTCTGTGGTTCAAGTGGAAGGGCCTTCGCCTACCCTGGCGCAGGTCGTTCCTCGTCGGTAAGCTCATCTGCCATCTTCAATCCAGAGCTCCCCAGAAACTCTCCTAATACCTCTTCCTCAGGCACCGACCTACACGGAAACACCTTCTGGGAATTCAAGGACCAACTCAACGCCGGTCGCTTCCGCCGCATCGTCAAGACCGATCCCAAAACCCATCTCGCCGATGTCCAAGTGAGCCGTAAGTGGCACCTTCAGCTCTCATAGCATATCCCCAATAGCAGCAGCTAACACCGTACCCCCGGTAACTACAGCACAATGGCACCAATGGCTTCGTTATGTCCGCGCAGACCCCCCGTCCATCCAAGAACAACAACAAGACATCATCCGACAAATGCAAATCAAGGAATTAGCCCGTCTGGCCGATGAGCGCTGGGCCAGCAAACCATCATATCTGGATATGCCCAAATCCCAACAACAACCGCTCCCCGCCACCAACACGAGTGATGCGACGGTAGCACAAGCAAACAAGAGCCCTTCGGAGGATACGCAGACGGCAACTACCGAGGCTGCGAAGAAGAATGACCCCTGGGCGAAGGCGGCGGCCGGCGCTCCGGGTCAGAAGTGGCAGCCTGATTCGTGGAGCCCGACTGCGTCGAAGAGATGAGTGAATGAGGTGGAGAATTGCAGCTTGGCTTGACTTCTCCGTACTTGGGCCTAAATTCTCTCGCTTCAATCTGAAACACATATGTCAGACTCGTCACCTCTAAAATAGGCATATCTGGGGTTGCCTTGCCAGGTTGCCATCCGTTCCCGAAATGCGGAACACGCCAGACATACGGAGAGAGAAGCTGATTGGCTGTGTTTCGTTAGTGTCGTTGGAGCAACATTACAGACAGTTGCGAAACAGTATCTGTCGATAAGAGACATCACATTTTCTGGTGATCAGTGACGGGTTGGGATGTCTCACATGGTACTCGGCCATCTGGAGCTTTGGCTTGAAGGACCCCCAACTCTTGTATATTACGAACTATTACTGTATTATGAATGAACTGTGTACATTATTTTCATTGGCGTTTTCTACCAGGTCGCCGTTAGGCGTATATTGATCAGGCCGGTTCTTTAGAACGTGAAGGTATGTCAAAAAGCATGGTGCTTGATTTCTTGTGTGTCGCCACCTAGGTACATGTATACAGATCACTCGCTTCTGTGCAAACACAATTTTCAAGAATGCAATATTAGTGGTATATATTATATCCAACTAGTATGAGGTTGATGGAACCTGAATGCCCGCCAATCTAACGCTTTTGATGAATGTCAAACTCCAAATCCTTTTCGGCTCAAAAAGAAAAAGTGATGATCAGACGAACACCCAAACGACCGTTGCCTTGTATCGAGAAATGAAACAAACAGAAAAATAAAAAGAATAATAACAACAGACTCTGGAATGGTATAACGAACATTCAAAAACCGGCTAGCCGCAGAACACAAATGACGACAAATAAACGGATACTGGCAAACGAGCGATGCACTGGATCGACATGTGAGTATTACTATTACATATGATATTAGCATAGGATGGCCTCCAGAGCTTCAACATCTCCCCCGGCACTCCGGACGGCTTGCAAGGCAGCTTCGCTGATTTCGCGGCGTCGAGCGCGGGCTTCTTGCTCACGTCGTGCCTTGGTCTTGGAGCTGCCACTGGGTGCGACACCGGTGAGGATCCTCTTGGAATCGTTCTGTGTGAAATTCACGAAGGATACGGTGACGGCCTTGTTGCCTCCCTTTGGACTTCCCGATGAACTGTGGGGAGCCTTAACTGGTTTTGGTGCGCTCATAGAATTGGAGGAAAGCTTTCGGTTCATACTCTGGCGCTGAAATGACCTCCGGTGACCATTGTGCATCATGCTTCCACTCTTTGGTGAGCCTGAGCCCGGAGACAGCGACGGAGAGCGTGAGTGGGTAGAGGGAATTTGAGGGGTGACAAATGACGATGAATCCACTGGCGCTGCAGTGGGCTGCATGTAGGCGCGGCTCTCATGACCATTTGGAGCGGAAGGCAGGCCGGCCGAGGGGAATGACGAATGTGTGTTGGAAAGATCATATGACGACGGGTCCAGTTGAATCATAAGGCCCCCTTGCAGCATGTCACTCTGACTTGCAGAGTTCTGGATCGGTCTCTGTGCAGCTGGGGACGCCACCATCTGCTGATACGAAGGCTGTCGCTGTGGGACTCTCGAAGCCATTGGCGACCACCATGCTTGGCCATCTTGTCCACTCAGATCGGGGGTGCTGTACGGAATCCCAGAAGAGCCAAGAGAGTCGGAATGCCAGGAAGACATGGACTGAGGGCCTGAAGAATGTGGGGAGGAGAAGATGTCGTCAGCCGAAGGGGGGCTTGAGGTGGGCAACCCCGAGCCGCTGGACTGGCTTAAATATCTCGGGGGCTGCCCCGCTAGCGCAGCTGTCGATGGAGAAGGCATGGAGATAGCGGGCGATTGGTTAAAGATGCCGGTGTCATATTGGGGAGGCATTTCAGCTGATGCCTTGGGTAGTGATTCGGTGCGGTTCAGGTGGGCAGCAGAGTTGTCTGCAGCCATATTCTCCTGTTGAACGAGGATATCGGAAGGTGGTGGGGACAGAGGCAAGCGTTCATCCGAGCTGCGAAAGCTGAAGTTGTTGAATCGCTGCGCCCAGGCTTCTTGATACGCCATTCTGTTCCGTTGAGGTTGAGAGGAGCGTGTTATGCCAGGTGAGAAGCTCTGCTTGTGCAGCGGACCACGACGATCATTAGGTTCGCGATGACGACGGATCACCTTGGGCGTAGTCACAGCACTCTTGGTGGTCTTACGACTAGGAGTTGCTGGAGGAGTAGACGGAGAAGGGCGGGTTTCCGGAGCGCACGCTGTCGGCGGAGCTTCAAAGTTGACACCCAAATCAGAAACGGCCGATGGGTGAACAGTATCCTGTAGAGAGAAATTTTGGCCTTGGTTGGTAGAAGAGTCCGCGTTCTGGGACAAACACCAGAAGTCTTTGCTCCAGTTTTGGGCTGTTTGCTGATGGGGTTGCGCTGTTGATGTGGAGATGGCCGGAGAGTGCTCGCCACAGTCGCTGGACAATGACTCAAGTTGAAATATTTGGTCAAGATCGCCAGGGAATGAAACATCTTTGTTGCCATCCACACTGGAGTTGTCCATATTGACGTACTGATTAAATAAATCTAAATCATTCAAGGAATGGTCGAACTGCTGGGCGAACATTGTGCCAGTCGGGGTGCCGCTTTCCGTTTGCGGCGACGACCAGAGGAGCTGTCAAAGGTCGACCCAACGAACACTTGGGCCGAGTAGATATGACTGGCGACGAAGGCCGCGGAAGCACAGAAGCTTGATGCAGAGGAAAGCTTGACGCAAAGTAAGGGACGGCTAAGCTAGCCGAGTATCCGTCCAAAATGGCCGCGGTGATGACGATGGCTCGAAGTGATGATGGAATGCACTGGCAGTGTTGGAACAGTTTGACGAGTTGACAATCGAAGAAAACAGTGCAGAAAATGCAAAGTAGACAAAGCAAACAAACAACAGACAGAGGGCTCCTATTTGAATTGCTACGATGGGCCCCAGCCTCTGGATTCTCCGCTGGATTCTGTGCACATTCCAAGAGCTCTCAACAAGGGCAAGATAGACAGGGAATGTGCCATCAAGGAATACGCAGCCCCTCGATATGGCCCACCCCAGCCCAATTGCTCGAGCAGAACGGCCCATGCCTTTCCCACAAGCCATTGTCGCCAATCAGGAGGAGTGCAAAGTCGGTGGCTGATTCGTGCCATCCACTGCCAGACATCCTTCACCCAGTGGGCTCGGAGCACTGATGGCCACCCGCGGGAATGCAACCTTTACTATGCCAGAAACAGGGTGCAGAGGTATCAGCAGGGCGGATATGGGCGGGTCTTAGAGGAACCAGCGAGCGCTGAGCCAATGACACCGACCTCGCCATTGTTTGATAATCGATGTCGAGGCTGGATCGAACTATGAGTGTCACAATGGAGGTCAACCGGCTTCGACGGCTCGACGCGTCAAGGGACGACGTGGAGAGGGGGCTCAACGGGCTGACTGACACCTGGAGTGTAAGCGTCATTGGGTTGCTTTGGCTCATCCTGAGTCGTATACGTAGGATAGCAGCCTCAATGATTTGCACTAAATTACCCCGACCGAACCTTTGCTCCACGCTCTTCCCGCATGGTGGAGCTAATGATCTTCGGGTACTCAATGAGCTACCGTTGGTGAGCTGGTTGGCCTGAACATTGGAATGCTGGGCTTAGGAAGAATGCACACCCCCCGTAACAAT